AACAAGATCCCCACTGCTGTCGGTTAATTGCCAAATCCCTCGGTGTCTTCAACCAACCAGCTGCAGTCTATCGGACCCTAAGCTGGAAGACGGGAGGCACTTATTCTGCCTAATCACTCTGTGCACTTCAACCCCCATACATTCGAACAGGTAAGCGATGTCGTCAGCGTACGCCAAATCGCACGGTTTTTCCCTAGTTGCCCATTCAATACCAACATTTTGGAGACCACTTAGTGCGTTTTCCAGTACTTCGTCCGCGACAAAGTAGAATACGAATGGCGAAGTAGGACACCCTTGAGAAACACCGTTCTCGGTTTCCAACGATTTGCTTAGCCCACTGTAGACCCTGACGTTACCCGAGTATAAAGGTACATTGATCGCAATAGGTTTACATACATCTGCAGCGAAACAGTGCGCTCATTAGGGAGTCACGATCAACAGAATCAAAGGCTCCTTTCAGTCAACGAAAACTACGATTGTTGGTCGACAATGTGTGTGGTGCCATTGAAGTACCTGACTTGGTCGGTGCAACTACGACCTGATCGAAATCCTGCCTGCTGTTCGCGAAAATGCTTCACTATTGAGAATGTCAGACGGCGAAGTATCACAGCAGTTAACACATGTAACGATCGGAACTAAACTGATATCACGGTGGTTTGCGCAGTCGTTGAGTAACCCCTTCGGAACGATCAACGATTCATCGCAGGATAAACGGATACGCTAATTCGACCAAATGCTGCCAAGTCAACTAGTAATCGAATCCACGAGTCACCACACAACTTGAAAAGAATGGGGAGAAGCCTATTAGGTCCCTCTACCTTCCCTTTCTTTAATGATTGGATACAGCCTCGTATTCCCCATTCCGATGGGGGCTCGCAAGTTTCCACCTATGAAGTTTCCGCTGCAATTGTCGGAATAACCGCTTTAGCACCAGACTAATTGAACAGTTCACTAAAATATCCTGTCCAGTGATACTCTGTCCACTTTCATCTCACTGACCGGTATGCGACTACCTCCAGCGCTGCGTATCAGGTGAAACAGTCTCTGACTATTCCCTGATGCAAAAGCTACCTCCATTTCATTAGCTATTTTGGCCCACCAGTTTTCGCGATCTTTCTTACGGTTTCTCCTGAATTGGCGTTGCAGGCGCCACTGGTCCCTATGCTCATCTTGGCAGATTGGGATCTTTCGCTTTTGATCTATCAGGATCGCTGACTCCTGAGAGATCCAATGTCCTCGGCGAACTTCGAGCTCTGACCCACCAGGAAAGAATACTGCTGAGGGCAACGCAAATATATTTGGTCCCACCGTTTGTCTAGTCCAGTATATCGCGGTTCTTCTAGCTCTTGTCCCAACTTCTCGTCATAAGATGTGCAAACAGATGGATCGCGCAGACGACGACGAGCTAACTGAGGAGGCGATTTCTGCCGATGACCGATGAGTCGGAGAGTGAAGCGCGTCAAAACTAGTGCATGGTTCGACTGAAAGCAGGTGGTCTAATAGGATCTGCAATTTTGTACTGAACCACACCAACAATTGTCTACAGCTGTGGTCAATCTGGGTCAACTTGCCCGTTGAATTAGAACACCAAGTTGCTGCACGATGAGTCGTGCAGAAAGTTGGTGCTAAATGAGAACAGACTGTGATCGGCGTAGAACCGAAGAAGTCGATTACCGTTCTCTGTTCGCTAGGCGAGAAGAGCGAAGTCGATTTGACTGACCTTTAAAAACAAAAGTCATTGACCCACTCACTTCCGAGGTGAGAGATTACTTCCTGCCTTGCAGTTCGCATTTGGTTGTGCAAAGGCTAGCGGTGCACCCTCAAATTAAAAAACGCCGAGTGACGCTGGGGACATTGCTCATACCAAACTCCCAAGGAACTCCATGAACATGATTGTGTGCAGCCGGCTTATCCTTTCCAAGGAGCCAGTAGCAGTAAGTAAGTAAGTAT